TTTCCCTTTTCCCTTTTCCCTTTTCCCTTTTCCCTTTTCCCTTTTCCCTTTTCCCTTTTCTCTTTTTCCCTTTCCCTTCCCTTTCCCCCTTCCCTCCCCTTTCAAATCCTTTACTCTAGCAAATAAATGGCACTGGAGGGAGAGCAGCTGGTACAAACACATCGGTACTTCTGAGTGCTGTATTCTCTTAGATTAAACTTAGGAGTAGCACAAGGAGTTTACCACACTGAGAAATTACACATATATTCTCCCCACTAATAATACAGCTGTCAGTTCTCATCACATAATTAAGTTCTGGGATCCAATAAATTTTCCAACAATACTTTCTCTATTCCCTGCCAAGTAAGAACTATTGCTTTATGGGAGTATGATATTGTCACAAAGCTTAAGCAGTTCATGTACGCCATAAGATACATTTTTGTATTTATGCCTCAAAATTCTAACAGCAGCAGCTTTCCAGGACTGGCAAAACATATTAGGTTTAGCTGTTCCAACAGTAAATAATAAAAACTGTTATTATAAAGTAATGCACTTCAGGTTTACACAAGTTTTAGGAGTACCTGTTATATAATACAGTGTATATTCTAGCTGAAACAGGTAGTTTGCATAATCCTTCCAGAATGCAACTGAAGGGAAAAGTGACCATACTTTTCACACTCTTGACTGCTTCTAAGAAAGCCTGAATCTGAAAAAAAAAGAAATGCAGTGCCCCGTTATTTCATTTGATTTCTGCTTTGACTGAGTTTTTGAGCAAATCTTACGATGTGTTTTACACCACCAATCTTTAACATGAGAATAAGAGAATAAGGAATAAGACTTTACAATTAACCTGATTGCTTTCGAAGTGTTAATGCCAGATTCAAAATATAGGAAAGGTTTTTAATTATCACTACTCAAAACAATAGCAAAGTTGTTAAATTCTTTTGTTGTTAACAAAGAGATCCAAGAATTACAGAAGTAGGAAAATAGCTAGGAAAATCCAGGAATTATGAACATAACCATTTACTCTGAAGTGTTTCTATCCAAAGCTAATTCCCCAAAGACTCAAGTCTGCTCTGATCTAAATTCCAAGGAGGAATATCAAGTAGGAACAAGATCTAAAAGCTATCTCCACAGTAGTGTTGCCTCTTTGGAGCATTGGTGTCCTCTCAGAAACCCTTCAGTGTTCAATGATATTGCAAGTCAGAACAGACCACACAGAAGTTTCAACATTTTTGGATAAAGTGATGGCATTAACTTACATGCACAAATGAAACAAAGAAACATGAACAGTGTGTTGTCTCCTCTTCTACTGGAAGACAAAATGAAACATTATTGCAAATGATGACATTACACTACAGTGGGCTGTTGTTGCATTCCATAGTATTTATAGCCTGTTAAACTACTGAAATTATTACAAGTTGGTTAGACTCTGTAAAATACAACACAAGCAGAACTCTTCACTCTATACAAAGTTCTCCTTCTTCCACTGTCTCCAACATTTGATCTCATCTAATTTCCAGCTCAGAAATCATAAAAACTCTCTTACCTGCAAGTAATCACTCCCTCATGTTATGGGAACCATCCTAAACCTGGAAATTTTCTTTGTTTCTTTGAATCTCTTGGTAGTCCCACAGCTTGCTTTTGAACTGAAAAGCCATCCATGTGTTCCCAATCTTTGCGAGCAGAAGAATATTTGTGAGTACAATTCAGAATATGTGTTTGTATCAAATTTTAAAACCAATTCACAAAATTTATAGTTTGAGGCCTCATGACAATATTTATATTTTCTAATATCAAACCAAAAATTCAGTTCTATACTTTTATAAATTTAATATCATTGCAACTTAAATTCCATTGTTAGAAGATCATTTGGATCACTGCTTGATTTGGTGTCAGCCAGTCTTTTTTATTACCATGGAAGATTTAAAAATAACTGCATTTATTCTATAACATTTCCATTTGGAGTACATTAACCATAAAATCTCTAGTTAACATTTCATGCTTATATTTATTTTCCTGTTTTGTAACCTAAGCTTGATTCCAAATTTTCAGTACATAATATGAGTACTGAGGACTTTAAAACAATCTGCATTAGCCTTGCATACCTTATCAGATTAAAAATTAAACAATATGCACTGCTGAATCTGTCAACACATATGCAGAGCCTTTGAATTCTGCAGTAATTCCTCTTGATGTCATCAGTGTTGCAAGGTGAGTTTCTTACAAACAAAAACTAAATCATAACAAAACAGGATTACCTGTTTATAAACTCATATATATTTGTCTCTAGGCAGAATGACATTGCAAAGCATTGAAAGTAGTTGCTAATCAAAGTGACAGTCATATATAGAAACAGTAACTAAACTTTAGAAATATCAAGTGTAGTTAATTCACAAAGAGTGAATAAGAAAAGCATACATGGCTACATTCTCTTTCTTACGCATTTCGCCCTCTCTTGGTGATGTTTTAGTTGGTTCCTTTCTAAACATTTTCTTAACATTATAGAAAATAATCACTCATCCTAAATGGACTGTACCACTGGATGCAAGTGCAAAGGCTGTGGTTCTCAACGTAAAAACATTTTTCATGGTGTCAAAGTCTCAGTGTAAAAATATTTTTAAAATGCGTACAGTTACAGTTATCAAATATTCTGAATTCATTTTTACACATTTCTCTGAAATAAGGTTTGGAACTATGTCCACCAGCTTGCCAAGTTTCAGATATGCCAAAGTTTTTTCCTCTTTACTGCATGGACATCAGCCCCATACATCTGTGAAGGGTTAAACTAATGCGTATGTAAACACTTCTGGGTAAAGATCCTTTTTTCTTTTTCTTGCCTGTTGTTTCTAGAGAATTGCTGTGGCCAACAAATTTCTCCCTAATTCAAAAGGATGAGAAAGAGAGATGAGATTAGGAAATGCATGGTGAAATAGAAGAAGGAGGGAAAGCTAGAAATGATTGTAGAGAAAAACAGAAAGGGGAAGAAAATGAAAATAATACAAATGAATTAAGATTTATTAAAGCAAGAGAAAGAAAAAAGAATGATAGGGGAGGGAGTAATTGGTCAAACTTTATGGCTGTATGAGGAAGTAAAATCTTACGTTAGGAAATAAAGGTTCTTAATCTAGACCTGGAGATAATATGGCTGTGACAAATATGCCAAACACAAAATATATTTGCAGAACTAAAAAGTAGATTACATCCTTAGAAAAACTGTAATGAAAATGTGAAATTCAACAGAATTCATTAATATTATAGTAAAGATTCTTATATAATTTTGATGCTTTTTTTGTTGGCACAAAAGAATAATATAAAACTATTTTATCCATAAAAGCATTACTACCTGGCAGCACACTAATTCAATTCTACAGCAATGCTCTCTGGTTTATGTTACAAAGTAGTTCTGAATTTCGAAGACATTGACATATCTGTAAGAAGTGGACTCTAAAACAGTGTGGTTTTGTTGAATTAAATATGAAAAGGAATAATGCAATCAGTACAGAATTCCTTTACTTATTTATGTTTGTGTGGAGTTCAATACAATTCTCAACTAATACATTTTTTACTTATCAGTATTACCAAGTTTTCCATTTTTTAATGTTACAGAATATTCTAGCGTTGCAGCATGACTGTGAAACATACCAGCAAAGCCAGAAGTACTACACAAGGAATCAGATAAACTGCTCTGAATGACATGCACTTGTCATCCTCATAGAGTCTTCAAAACAATGGTATCTAATAGTCTAGCTACTCCTGCTGATTTCTGGTTGACCAGAGTAGAGAGTTAAAGTATTCCAGCCTTTCTGGAACTATTCTGTGGAGTAAGCAGAATAACTGAAAGAAAATATGTGAAAATATTCGCCCTCCTGTTTGATCTTTTATTCCCTTCCTATTTCCAGTCCAGCAGCTGTCACTGTGTTCCCAGTCTCTCACTGATCCCACTGCAATTGGTAGTACAATTATAAAAGTCTGAGAATTTTCCATCACTGCTCACACTGACTATGGATTTGTCTTCTGCTGGAAGTAGGGACCCTGCTCCTTCCAGAGTCACCAGCATGTACAACTGTTTCATGTTTCTTGTTCTGCTTCTCTTTTATTCTCATCCTCTGCTACACACCCATGTTCCTTTAGGCAAAACCTAACATACCACATACAAGCAGAAAACTGGATACTCAGAAATTCATCACCATGAGCAGGCTATATCTACTTAGATCTCCATTTAAGTTTGAGTCCACAAAATGGAAAACCTTTGAATAACTTCCAGTGTAGCTTTCAATAAGAAATGTTAGGCTTCAGAGAGCTGTTGTTTGTAACCAGTTATTTAGTTCAGTGTTTAGTGTGTGTTTAATTTAGTTTTTTTAGTTTTTTATAAACTTTTTATTTAGTTCAGTGTTTAGTGTTTAATTCTGAAACCAATAAAAAGAAAAAAAAAATCTGCAGAAAAAAATCAGATGGTTCACATATTTTTGTATATTGTGGGTACAAATCAAATGTAGAAACTCAAGAATCAATCAGACTGCATTTAACAGGTCTGTCAATGAATATTTTAGCAGCCAGAAATGTAGGTTCTTTTCTTGCTATTTTTTTTTTCCCTCCTTCCCACAGCATTTGATCATTTTTTGAATGGAAGAATAACTACAAAGTTATCTTCATCACCAATCTGATAACTCAATTAGCATCATATTGCTCATTCATTATCAATTTTCCTGGCTTTTCTATATAGTACTTGCTGTCTAAAGAAACTTAGTAACATCCTGCAGTACGTTTATGTGTGTAAGACCTTTTTAAAGTTATAAGAATATAATAGAACTAGCAAAAATCTGGAAGAAAGCTATGAAGCTCACTGGAGATTTAATTGACAGTCCATCTCAGGGAAAGTAGCATTTCTCTTTCACGTAGAGGCATTCACTTCTGTAGTAGAAAGCTAATGGACAATTTTTCTTATTAAAGAATTCCCATGGATCTCAATGGGATGGAACAGAGCTTTATGTTCACTAGGGACCACATGTCCAGTGTTAGGCCAAAAGCAATAAATGCAGAATAGGCAGTGACTTGTAAGGAGTCACTTAGGTAAGTGCAAAGGTAAAAAATACAAATATTTTGTGGTTACCTTCTTGCCCATACTAACCATGGGTGATTAATCCAAATATCATTAATGTTTTTGTCAGAATAAAACTATCACAGATTATTGTTAACACAACCCTTCTCTTTCAGAGAGAGTCAAGGAAGGAGACCAAACAATTGATAGACAGTTTCAAGGCCAAAACAAATCTAAAGACAAATTTTCACAGTAGTTCAAAATGTATGTGGTCATGATCGGTGGTTCACAAATTAACAGCTTGATAAATCATGACATAGTAATGGCAATCAGATTATCAAGCTAGTTGAAAGCAAATCTATGATCTGCTACTGGAGAAACAGATTTACTAGTAAAAGCTGAGAAATGAGACCATACCGCTGAATATTTCAGTAATCAGAGTAAATCCCACAGTCTGGAATTAGAAAAAACTGTAACAGATATTACTTTGGCCTGATAGACTAATCCGCATTTCGTGGGAAAAACCTAAAAATAGAAAGATATTGTCCTTCAGATCTCTTCCCTTTTCACTTGTGCTCCCTATGAAAATTTCAGTGCTAAAAAAGCTGAGGTGCTGCCACTATTGCTTTTCAAGCTGTTATAGATCAGTGTTACTTTGCATTCAATCTGTTTGTTTTTATTACTATCTTTTTTTTTTTTCTATTTACAGAGTAAGCTCTTCTGGACAAGGAACCATTCTTTTATTAGAATATATTTATGCTGTAATTATGTAGTTAGGTATTCTATATATACATCTGCAGTATATCACATATCCTTTCTGTAACTGTATTTCTATTACACCAATATATAAAATCTCTGAAATTAGGTCTCTCATCCATGAAGAGGAATTCAAAAGCTTTCTACTATACAACAAATAGGCTTATAGCAAATGAGAGAAGAGGGAGAAAAATGAATCTAGCTGACAAATTTCTAAATTATACAGTGTCAGAATTTGTCCATATCTAAAGAATATTATGTTTATAATAGTTATGAAGTAGCTTTGAAAATATTTTGTGCTATCATTTAAGCTCATCTAAAGAAAAAAACTGTGGTTAACTACTTGCGTAGAATGTCTTTGTTGCTCCAGAATTTATTAAATTCCTAGGGATGCTTCATAAAGATATTGAAAAGTGCATGTGGTGCAGCTCAACATTTAAGAAGTTTTATGCACCCATAGATATCCTGCATGCCATAGAAGAACTCCAGAGATCTAAGTGCATTGTAACCCAAAACAGCAATGAATGAGTTAAAGCTGAGTAAAGAGTGACACATTCAATTTGAAGCACTGTTTTGCAGTGCCACTGGACCAAATGCTGCAAACACAGAGGTCTGGCACTTGGGTCCTGGGCTTCAGAGATCCAATATCTTCCTACCTACTCAATGAGGCCCAAGACATGTTCAGATCAGACAAAAATGTGACCTTTAAACATATGAATGGCATAATAAAATCTGCTGTTGCACCACTGGGATACTTGCTTTCTGTTACTGATAACCAGCTGAACCTGTGTATTTATACAGTTACATGCCCTCCAAGATTCAAATATAACTTCTCCTATTCAGTTAGGAATCAGACAGTTGCATTTTTCATTGCTCTTT